GTCGGTCCACTGATTGGTGGAGGGCTAAGGGGGGGGGACAGGTACAGTTAAAAACCCAGATCCAATGGTTGTTGGAGGGGTGGGTGTAACTGAAAGCGGGGGGGTCGGTCCACTGATTGGTGGAGGGGCCCGTGTTAGGGCGATAGATGCAACTAAGGGGGGGCAGGTAAGTACCAAGATTGGCGGGGGGGTCCGTGTCCCATGAAGGGGGCTAGGGTTAAGGTTATTGGGCCGGGGAGGGAGTGATAAAGGAGGAAAAGAGGGGATAGTGGTTGTGCGTGAAGGTAAAGTAAGAGTGTTGGGAAGACTAGGGGGGGTGGAGCGAAGTCGAGAGGTTTGAGGTCTCTGTGGCAGTGGTAGGGGTGGAAAAGAGGTAGGGTTGGTGATGTCAAGAGCAGGGGTAGGTGGCTGGGGGTCTGAGGGGTTTAACAGGGAGTGCCAGTTAGAAATGGATGAGGGGATGAGCTTCTTATGGTATCGTTTACGAGCCCAATTAATGGCCCTGTTAAAAGCATCCCTCTTAAAAAGGACCAAGCTCGAACTGAGGTCCTTGAGGAGGTCAGTGTAATGAGTCCTAAGGATATCCAAATTACACTGCATCCAAATTGTTGTGTTTTCTTCCACCAGGTTTAAAATGTTACTGTTGGGGGCTGCTGGTTTGATGATGGAGGATAAAATCTGTACTTTCCTGGCCATACCGGGGGGTGGAGATCCCCGGCGAGCTGCCTCGTCGAGGATCTCCACATGGTGGATGGCCTGGAGGTGTTTAAAATAGGTTTTGGTTAAAACAATGTCCACAGGGATCCCAGGTGCCTCATTGGGGGCCCTAAGCGGGAGAGGTGGTATAAGGCAGGGGAAGCTAGAACATGAACACGGTTATAGTAGGAGGAAGCAGCCATAAGGTAGGTTAGTTGGGGGAGGGGAGGGGAAAAGAGAGCAAGGGGTAAATAGGGGAATTTTTTGTATCATGGAGCCCACGGAAAAAGAAAAGAGGAATATCAGAAATAAGAACAAAGATCTTCTTCTCCACAGACTTTAAAACCTATCTCTCCCCATATATTAGGACAGTGATGAAGACTGGTCTTGAGTCAGTGAAGGCAGCGCTGCGGTTGTTCTTTGAAAGTGCAGCAGAGGATCTGGAGAAGACTCAGGAGAACCTGAAGCTGGGCCAGTTCACCCACAGCAGGGAGCAGCCGCGGGGGGTCACTCAGATCATCAACTACACCACCTTCGCCCTGCTGCCCGTCCTCTCCTCCCTGTTCGAACACATCGGACAGAACATGTTCGGAGAAGACCTCATATGTGCGTACTCACTTGTGGTTAATGCACCAAAGGGAAAAACCTAACACTTGGATATTTTAGAATGTTTTTTCTTCTATAACAATTAAAAGAACTGTATCTAAAAAGGAAAAGATGGGATGGTTTTCCATGAAAAATAAAGGACGAAACTCCATGAAGTGTAAAATGCAAACTTTTTTTTGTGGTTATCTCTCCTCTTCCAGTGGATGATGTCCAGGTTTCCTGCTACAGAATCCTCTACAGCCTCTACCTTTTAGGAACCAACAGAAGCATCTATGTGGAGAGGTACTGTACAGTGTACCCTGCAGTATACATGTATTTAAGCTACAGAAAACTGTTATAGATTGTTTCTTACACCTCTGTTGGTATGTGAGTTTAGTTGTGCTGTAAAGAGCATTTTAATTTCAAGGTGACAAAAACAAGAAACACAAGTAAAAATGTCTTTATACTGAATGCTGATTGAGTTGTAATTAAGAACTCAACAAATTCTCTGATGGACTACTGTTTGTATAGCAAGCTCTTAATATGACTGTGTAGCAGTAAGAGATCATTTTAATTGCAAGCTACAATTTTATAGTGACAATAACATCATTTAATAAAAAAAACAAAGTATCACTGCCTATTCACTTTTAATGTGCAAAAAACTCACCCATTGGTGACCTTCATAAAACACCAACACACCTAAATGCACTTCATCTGATGTATGGTTTATTTGCATTCTGGGCCTTCCACACTGAACACAACATGTTTGCTTCTGGGAATTGTTGTGTTGGTAAATCAGTAAAATGCCCCTCCTGTAATACTCATTGCATTTCAATTCATAGGAGTTAGCGTGTGTTTCCTTTTGGCTCCTTTTCAGTTTAAATAATGTCTGCCCAACTGTTTTAATACCAAAATGAAGATGATTAATAGTACAGGAAGTAAGTAAAGTACCACAGGAGTAACTACCTCCAATTTATTAATCAATAAGCATCGATATAAAAAAATAAAAAGTGCATAATAAAATGATAATGAATGCATTGTTAATCTCTCCTCTCCTGCAGACAGCGCCCAGCTTTGGGGAAGTGTCTAGCTGCCTTCTCAGCAGCCTTTCCTGTGGCCTTCCTCGAGCCTCACACCAACAAGTTCAACAGCTTCTCCATCTTCAACAGCAAAGGAGCTAAAGACAGGGCAGGTGCTTATGACTGGATTTTATTTCAATAAAAATCCAATGGGGCAAAGTTATGCCAAGATATACATGTCCTTGGGTAATTGTATCCTCTGAGAATGACATTCACTCTACATACCACTGAGCTCATTGTATGTTGCTGTGTCTTACTCTTTGTTGCTGTTAGCTTTGTAAGGAAATCTCTGCTAACATTAGCGGACAAGCCTGCTAGATTCTACTTTCTGCATAAAAAAGAAAAACCTCTTTTTAAGTGCATACTCTTCACCCCTTCAGCTCTAGGTCTTCCCGGGCAGGTGGGGGAGGTTTGTCCTCTGATCCCAAACTTAGAAAAGTGTCTGGAGGAGATCATGGAGTTGGCAGAGTCTGGCATGAGATACACTCAGATGCCCCATGTCATGGAGGTGGGCTATATCACTTACTAACTATCTAACTAAACAGGCACATGAACCTTGTGTCTTCTCACAAAGAAATAGAGATTGTTAACCCTCTGTTCATCATACCCAAGTAGTGCTTGCATGATGTTTGTGTGGTTTCAATGTCTGACTGCCCATACGAAACGAAACAAAGCATTATGTCATTAAGTGGGTAATCTGGTGATTGGAGAGGGATGTGTGGTCAGTTTAACATGTATTTTTTTTCTGTAGGTGGTGTTGCCGATGTTGTGCAGCTACATGTCTAACTGGTGGGAACATGGACCAGAGAACAACCCAGACAAAGCTGACAGCTGCTGCACCTCTGTGACCTCTGAACACATGAACACTCTGCTGGGAAACATTCTGAAGATCATCTACAACAACCTGGGAATAGATGAGGGGGCCTGGATGAAAAGACTAGCTGGTAAACCTGGCAGCGTTTGTGTTTATGTCTCCATGACTCATGAAATTGCAAAAACTGAAGAATGAGGCTTAATTCAAAGTCATGTGTTTTATGACAATCTCTGTCACTGCTTCAGTCTTCTCTCAGCCAATCATCAGCAAGGCCAAAGCCCAGCTGCTCAAGACCCACTTCCTGTCTCTGATGGAGAAACTCAAAAAAGTAAGTCTCATCACTGTTTAATGTGTTATAGATGTTGATGTAGTTCATTAGACTATTGATAGGCTCAAAGAACGCATACACTAAGATCACAATATATTTAGTGTTGAAAATAAGAAAAAGCTGTTATTTATTTTTCCTTTAGAAAGCAGCAGTGGTGCTGATGGATGAGGAACAGAGCAAGGTGGAGGGGAGGGGGGAGATGTCAGAGACAGAGCTCCTCATCCTGGACCAGTTCACCGTACTGATCAGAGACCTGTATGCCTTTTACCCTCTCCTCATACGATTTGTTGACTACAACAGGTACAGAGTGCTGATTGGATCATTTTAGATCTAATGTCTTCTTATTGTATTACACCTTTACTCTGAAACAACAAATATTGTGACCTATTCGACTTTCAGTGTGATGAATTGCAATAATGGGATACTTGCCTCTATGCTTGCTCTGTAAATGTGTACAATGTGTGTGTCTAACAAGCATGTTGAGTGAGTTCACTTCCTCATTAAACATTTCTGGTTTTAGTATTTGAAACACACAGAATGTAATTTCTGTCACAATTGGTCCATCAAACAAGACAATAACCAAAAAAGGATTTTTTTTAATGATACCGTGACATGGGTGAGGTCATGGGAGTTGTTGTGTTCTTCTTATGAAATAGCCACAAGTAACATAAACTTAACTCTACATTATATTGAGCATGATGACACAACAAACCAACTGCTTCCCCTATCATCCGAAACTGCAAAGCACTTACCCCCATAACGCTACTCCCAAACAATCAGCTGCACTCAGCGACAACAGCTGTGCGTAGTCCGTCCCCAACAACGGACATCCATTCACCAAACGTTCCCAGGTCCAAAGCAACGAGCCCCCATATGTTACAACCCGAGCTCCGGGGCTGCAACAAAAAGCGGGGAGGCGAGACGAGGGATATGAATAATAAAGACGTTTCTTTTTAATAAACAAAAATGCGGATGCGGCACCAGCAACAGATCCCCGAGGCTGGCCCAGAGGAGTGAGAGAGCGACGTATCCGGCTTGGCTCCTCTTGTAGGCTTCCAGCAGGTGTAGCTCATCAGGCAGGTGCAGCTCATCAGGCACTGGAACCTGCAATCACCCACAAACACACACAAACAGACGGCCCCCCACGTGGTGTGGAGGTATCGTCACACCTGGTCACCAATAGATTAGTCAACTACCCACACAGCTTCTGTAGCTAACGCTATGTGGCTAACTCAGTCCAACAATGCAATCAATAGTCATCACTCTCAGATGTATCATGATTCATGACAGACAATCAAATAAAATGCCCCCTTAATTTGTCACCTGAGGAGCCAAGTGTTTGCGTTCTTGTGCGTTATCATGAGAAAACAAACTGGGACTGTCTTATAAAAATAGCTCCATAGCAACTAAAGGGTCTACAACTTTTTGAACCTTTTCATTGTGGCACTATCTCTAAACTGCATAACTTTATGAACAGGGCTCTGTGGCTGAAAGAGTCCAACCCAGAGGCTGAGGAGCTGTTCCGCATGGTGGCAGAGGTTTTCATCTTCTGGGCCAAGTCTCATGTAAGAATCATAAAAACATGTATTTTTGTATGAGGTTCCTAATTTTTTTATCTAATAACTCCATACAAAGGACTGCTTACGCTGCTTATCCCATTGAGAATGTGCAGTCCAGTCTGTAGCTTCATTAATCTATCACACATGTAATGCTGAAGATCACACATTGTCCCTGTGCACACAAACCTTAAATCTCCCTACAAATCATTACACATTCAGTAGCAGTAATAACAGTAAGAGTCTACTGCCGAGCTAGCAGCTCTGACAATGCAACATTCTGATGTTTGCTATTTACTGTATGATGTTTACATGTTCACTATCCTAGCTTAGCGTATTTGCATGTTGAAATATGTGAATTAGCACTAAACACAAAGTACAGCAGTGGCTGATGGGAATGTCATTTGTTTTGCAAGTGTTAGGTCACAATCCAAAGTATTGGACATACTTTGACCTGATGGCAGTGCATCATTCAAAGGGAGAGAGTGACTGATTTCAATTCATCCTAAGGGATGACAAACCTGTACCCTATTATTCAGTAGATACTAAGAAATTCACTAAAAACACATTTGTTTTGGTAGATGAAAAATATAAAGATCATCAGAGTCAGTAAGCTTCATCATGAATATCTGTAGAAAATATCATGGCAATCCATTTCAGTTTGGACCAAACTATATTTAGATTTAAATATTTTCTGTCTGCAGAACTTCAAGAGAGAAGAGCAGAACTTTGTGGTCCAGAATGAAATCAACAACATGTCGTTCCTCATCACTGACACCAAGTGTAAGATGTCTAAGGTATGGACAGATGGACAGAAGCAGGGAATCGAGATTCACATATCAGAAGTGTACTGCTTAACGTGTGTGTGTGTGTGTGTGTGTGTGTGTGTGTGTGTGTGTGTGTGTGTGTGTGTGTGTGTGTGTGTGTGTGTGTCAATGCCCATGTTCACATAATGAAGAAAATAACACTCGTCATGTATGTGCATTAAATATTCTGATGTTTGACTTTGCCTCAGGGAATAGTTTCAGACCAGGAGAGGAAGAAGATGAAGAGGAAGGGAGATCGGTACTCGATGCAGACCAGTCTCATCGTGGCCACTCTGAAGCGCCTGCTGCCTGTGGGTCTGAACATCTGCGCGCCCGGAGAACAAGAGCTGATCGCTCTGGCTAAGAACCGCTTCACACAGGTCAGTCAATACTCATCCACTAGATTATGAGAATTGCTTTTGTCTGATATGGTATTAGAGAAGAGGCAATATACCATTTGACTTCATAATTGTATACATTTTCATCGACTATGGTCACTTTGAATTTTAAGTGTATTATATGCCTACACAAATGAGTTAGTATAGGATAAAATAATAAACTAAACATAAATAAACAAACACTTACAATGAATTATTGGTAACATGTATTAGTATGCCTCTGGAATAACTCCAACAGTATATCCTCCAGTCTGGTTTTTGTCAGAATTCCAGTGACAAAAGAATTGAGTGCTGTGAAGATGTTGTAGTAATGGCAGCCATTCAAACAACATTCTGTGCTGTTCTCTTCAAAGCTCTTGTCTGGGATGGCAGGCATTAGTGTTGTACTGAATGATAATATTTCTACTTTAGAAGCTTCTATTGAGGTTTTCCAATAAAGCTTTTGATGTCTGTCACTGTTCTCTTCTTGTGGTTATATCATTGTAATGTATGGTGCCGTTAGATTGCAATTAGACGGCAGTGGGACACATATGCTGATAAATGTTCAGCCTCTGATCTAAGAAATGCTGTTTCAGAGCGCAGTGCCATTGCTCACAACCCTCCACTGTGTCAAACTTCATTTAATCATATGCAAATGACTCCAGGCAGCTTCAGAATGATAAAATACACTTCTGTCTCTACACAGTTGTTTCACCCCATAATATCTGTTGGTGTATTTGTATACACGTTTGCACCATCTTTTGTTTAACATTTCAGAAATGTTTCCAATTTGCCTTAAAGTCTGAATATCTTTAGTTGGAAACTGCCTTTTTGTCTAAATGATCTTAAATTGTGAAACCAGATTGTTTTGCTTAAGATATCATTACAATTGTTGTGTGTGTCAGTCGAGACCTTGAAAGGTCCCATGTCATGCTTTTCCTGTTATTACCCGTCCCCTTGTGTGTTATGAAGGTTGTCCTGCATGTAAACGGTCTGCAGAGTCACAAACCCTCAAAGTACACCCTGTAGCGAGTAAAACTCTAACACAGAAAAGACCTGTCTATGCTGCCCCAGAACGCCTCGTTGGAGATGTCTTTTTTTCCTCCTGGGTACAGTGACGTGCCCATACCAAAATGGACCAATCCGTGGAGCCGTTACGTTACGTCCACGGAGCCGTTGGGTTAAGTCCGTGGATTGGTCCAAATGAGCCAATCTGCGGACTTCCTCACACACACACACTCAATCTTTTCTCAGCTGCAGCTCCGCCGATTTCTCCTCCCTGAGACGGTGGGACGCGGCGAGGCTGTGAGTCGGTGTGTGAGCACACACACAAACTCCCAGCCAGGCTGTGTGTGTGTGTGTGTGTGTGTGTGTGTGTGTGTGTGTGTGTGTGTGTGTGTGTGTGTGTGTGTGTGTGTGTGTGTGTGTGTGTGTGTGTGTGTGTGTGTCTCGCTGTCTCGCGGACGGCCACTGGGCTCATAGGGAGGGGGGGGCAGGAGCACCAACAAGCTGTGTAGGACAGAGAGTGAATACACATAGTTTACAGAGATGCTGTATGAGAAACCAATGCGATTTTGGAAAATTGCACAATATAAATCAAGTATACCTCAACAATGGAATTATGATCAGTAGAAATGGCCATGACATGGGGCCTTTAAAGGTTCCCTTTGTCTCACAATGGAGCGTGCATTTACTCTGTTCACAGAAAGATACAGAGGATGAAGTTCGAGAGATCATCAAGAACAATCTTCATTTACAAGGAAAGGTGAGTAAACTCTGATCTTATAATTATCACAGTCCATGTATATTTGAGAGGAAACAATCATGACTTAAGTCTTTATGGTCACACATTTAATACATGTCCTCATGTGTGTTGTACAGCTGGAGGACCCAGCTATCCGCTGGCAGATGGCTCTGTACAGAGACCTCCCCAACAACTACGAGGACACCTCGGACCCTCAGAAGACTGTGGAGAGGGTCCTGGACATCGCTCATGTCCTCTTCCACCTAGACCAGGTGTGTGTGTTGATGTATTCTACCTGAAAGTAAAAACAAATGAGGAGAAGGTGGCCTGGACTCAAATCTAATTATCAATCAAAGCAGTTTTCCACAACTGCAAAAATATACAAAAGCATATTTGGTCATATTAATAATGTTGTAGAATACATGGAATGCATAAAAATAACAAGTAAAATGAAACCCACTGAAAAATGATATTAATATTAAGATCAGTACCTACAGTTGCAAGAAAAAGTATGTGAACCCTTTGGAACTTCCTGGATTTCTGCATAAATTGGTCATAAAATGTGTTCTGATCTTCATCTAAGTCACAACAATAGACAAACACAGTCTGCTTAAGCTAAAACCACACAAACAATTATATGTTTTTATGTTTTTATTGAACACACCATGTAAACATTCACAGTGCAGGGTGGAAAAAGTATGTGAACCCTTGGATTGAATAACTGGTTGATCCTCCTCTGGCAGCAATAACCTCAACCAAACGTTTCCGATAGTTGCATATCAGACCTGCACAACGGTCAGGAGGAATTTGGGACCATTCCTCTTTACAAAACTGTTTCAGTTCAGCAATATTCTTGGGATGTCTGGTGTGAATCGCTCTCTTGAGGTCATGCCACAGCATCTCAATTGGGTTGAGGTCAGGACTCTGACTGGGCCACTCCAGAAGGCCTATTTTCTTCTGTTGAAGCCATTCTGTTGTTGATTTACTTCTGTGCTTTGGGTCGTTGTCCTGTTGCATCACCCATCTTCTGTTGAGCTTCAATTGGTGGACAGATGGCCTTAAGTTCTCCAGCAAAATGTCTTGATAAACTTGAGAATTCATTTTTCCGTCGATGATGGCAATCTGTCCAGGCCCTGAGGCAGCAAAGCAGCCCCAAACCATGATGCTCCCTCCACCATACTTCACAGTTGGGATGAGGTTTTGATGTTGGTGTGCTGTGCCTTTTTTTCTCCACACATAGCGTTGTGTGTTCCTTCCAAACAACTCAACTTTGGTTTCATCTGTCCACAGAATATTTTGCCAGTAGTGCTGTGGAACATCCAGGTGCTCTTTTGCAAACTTCCAACGTGCAGCAATGTTTTTTCTGGACAGCAGATCAGAACACATTTTATGACCAACTTATGCAGAAATCCAGGTCATTCCAAAGGGTTCACATACTTTTTCTTGCAACTGTATATGTGCAGCATCCACACACATGAATAAACACTGCAGCAGCATCAAAGAGGCTCTGTGCTCTCTTTTCTTTTCTATATATGGAGATAACACTTGTTTAAAGTGCCCTCTCTCGGTGCCTAGGACTCTGAAGCTGTAAATAGACACAAAAATAAACACAAAACAGAAGTTCTTCATGGAGACTGACTGTTTTTAAAGAAAAAGACATTAACAAATGCACTTATGTAATAAGTTGTCCAGGCGTTGAACCAGAAGGTGAGCGCTTCACTTTGTGTTCAGGTGGAACATCCTCAGCGCAGTAAGAAGGCCGTGTGGCACAAACTGCTGTCCAAACAGAGGAAGAGAGCTGTGGTGGCTTGCTTCAGGATGGCACCACTCTATAACCTTCCCAGGTGAGTTTGGCAGCCAAACACAGCAACACACATACAGTATTTACTGAGTGCATGTGAGTGTACTACATCTATCTTGTAAGAAATGCATATATTTGTATTCTTAACTTATCTCCTCCGAATTAGGCACCGGGCTGTCAACTTGTTCCTGCAGGGCTATGAGAAGTCCTGGATCGAGGCAGAGGAACACTACTTTGAAGATAAACTCATAGAGGACCTCGCTGTAAGTTCATTTAAATGCAAGCGTAAAACTGATGGAATCAAACTGTGTACTGCTGAAAATTGCAGAAAAGGATTCAAAACACAGACATGGCTACCTTCCAGTTTTAGGTTTATCGTCTGCTACAATTTTACAAGAACTTAAATTCCACCTTACTCTATTCCATAATTATATGAATACTACTTAGTCTACTATCGTGTCTAGTTATTTCTAGTAATTTTTATCAGATTCATAAAATACCCACACTAAGAGAGTTGTACATGAAAAAAATGAATTATTTCTTTCCACTATTATTTTCAGTGTATTTTATTGAGTCTTGTGTGACTGTGTTTTTTTTCAGAAACCAGGGGAGCAGGAGCTATCTGAGGAAGAGGAGGGGCAGAAACACATCGATCCTCTGCATCAGCTCATCCAGCTGTTCAGCAGGACGGCCCTCACAGAGAAGTGGTGGGTTTTGTAGATAAAGTTTATGTAAGATAAAAGGTTCTTCCTAAAGTAACTGCATCAACTCAAGTTATAGTTTGTGTTTACACATCTAGTAAAAAGAACATTTATCCATCTGAAAGGTCAAACTAAACATGCACTGGTGTTTTAACTCTTATATCAAGATCTGTCTATCTGTAAATATGAATAGTAGTAGTTAGTAATAGTTGTTAAACCCTCTCCTGTTATCGCTCTTGGTTGTTTCACATCCAGTCCAATGGAATCAGAAATACCAGTGGACACCTAACCAGATACATTTTTAGTCAATGGCGCTTTAAATTTTTTTATTACACAGCACAAAAAATACCTTTTTCTCCATTCAGTATTATGCAGATACAAATGTTTTTCCTCATCCGGTACAATTGAAAAAAGACAGCATGGGATCACTTAATGTAACTTAAATAAAAAAATGTTTTAAAGGCATTTAGGTAATCGTTCATCTAGCACGTGTGTGTGTGTGTGTGTGTGTGTGTGTGTGTGTGTGTGTGTGTGTGTGTGTGTCTTGCAGTAAACTGGATGAGGATAATCTCTACATGGCCTACGCTGACATCATGGCAAAGGTATGACCTGCTGAAGTGAATAAAATGACTTATCAAAGTATGAAGATGATGTTTCCTGTCTCATTTGTATCATTCTTCACTCCTTTAGAGTTGCCATGATGAAGAAGATGATGATGGAGAGGAGGTGAAGAGTTTTGAAGTAGGTGAACAGTCCCTCACTCTATTAGTCGCTCTCTCCCTGTGATCATCTTGTAAGTGTGTGTTGTGCTGTTCCTCATCAACAGGAGAAAGAGATGGAGAAGCAGAAGCTGCTGTATCAGCAGGCGCGGCTACATGACAGAGGAGCCGCTGAGATGGTGCTCCAGACCATCAGCGCCAGCAAGGGTAGGTCCTCGGGCGACTATCACTACTTTAACACTACTTGTGTATTTGTGATTTATATCCACTCTGAGGGCCAGCTGAACACAGCACAAGAGTTGTATTAAAGGGGCCCTATTCTGCTACTAGGGGGTTTTGTTTCCCTGTAGTGTGTTCTATAGGTGTTTGTGCATGTGAATGGTCTGCAAAGGCTAAAATCCATGTGTTCCCTCCAGGGGGAGTTTCTCTCTCACACCACCCTTGGACTCCTTTGTTTACTTCCCTAACATATTGATATGACTTTGTAAAACTTGTGCTTCTATTGGATAGCGCTCCAAGACATTGTACGTGATATGCTAAAGCGCTGCACTTCTCTTAGCAGTTGACCAACCACAATAGAGCCAGCTAACCAATCAGAGACTGGGCTCTGGTTTCAGACAGAGGGTGAAAAGAGGTGCTACAGCACCGGCAGTATGAGGAAAATAAAGAGCTTTTTGAACGTTAAAGCATGGAGACATGTCCCAGTAGAGACAATAAATACTAATATCATCCTGTAAATTAATATATTTTGTCCTCTTTAATCAAAACTTGAGTTCGGATCTGCTCATATGGGACGACATATGATTTTTTTTTTTTTTTAATGGTTATTGGGATCATTGCAAACAAAAATCACAAATTACTTGAAAAAGCTGTCAAACTCTCTATTATTGAAGTCATTGAGTCAGGTTTGAAAAAGTAAAGTATGGGTGTGTGGGGGGGGAATGATTTATGATTACCCTTATTAAAGATTCTACGTTTTTTACTGAAAAATATGCTCCATTAAAAAATACGTGTTCTATCTGTGAACACATACAAATACTTTTTAACTTAATGTAAGGTACTGTAATTACATCATGTTAGAGCCATTTAATATTGAATATGTTTTAAGCATGTTTTAATTAAAAGGGGGGGGGAAAGGATTCAACCAGGAGCTGTGAAAGACCCTGCACTGTGGTGGATGAAGGACTAATGTCCTTTTGTTTTCTGTGTGTGTGTTGTGTTCCTGTTCACCAGGTGAGATGGGGCCCATGGTGGCCTCCACTCTGAAGCTGGGCATAGCTATTCTCAACGGAGGAAACTCTACTGTACAGCAGGTACAGTGCTCAGTCATCTCTGTTTCTGACATTACCATTCTGCTGTTGGATCACAGAGTACTTCCAAACTGCCATAGTGTCTCCTGTCTGAAATAAAACTCAATCATCCCATTTTCCTCTGTGGTTTTTCTCTTTCTCTTTGATAGAAAATGTTGGATTACCTGAAAGACAAAAAGGATGTTGGCTTCTTTCAGAGTCTGGCTGGTTTGATGCAGTCATGCAGGTTACTGTGAATCACTCTTCCTCTTATTGAGAAAAATGACTGACCATGTATTCATAGAACAGGAGGGTTGGTTAATAGGTTCAGACTGTGTGTGGACTGACTGCAGAATCAGAAATCTTTATTTGGCCCACAGCAAAATAGCAAAATAATGAAATAAAAATAAAATAAGTACACAAGCTAGTCAACATGTAACATGTAGAAAAGTAGCATCAGGTCAAGATATTTATAAAGTGTAAAAGTAGTATTATAGCAAGATTATTGGTCAAACAACAGTCAAGTTTATTGAACTAAATATAGATAATAGATGAAACACTGGAGTTAATAATATATAATCTGTGTTCACTCCGATATGAAACTTAAGCGATGTTGAAATGTGTCACTGATTAGATGCAGCATCCAACAAATACAGAATAATATAATAATAAAATAATATTGGAGGAGGGATGAAACCCTCTTTAATGGTCACACATGCAGAACACACAGTGACATGTGTTCTCTGCTTTTAACCCATCCTAGTACCAGGAGTCTAGTACTAGGAGCAGTGGGTAGCTATTGCACAGCGCCCGGGGAGCAATGGAAGTGAGGGGGGAAGGGGGTTGTCCGGTGCCTTGCTCAAGGGCACCACGGCAGGGCAGGAGGTGAACTGGGACCTCTCCACGTAGAAGTCCACGCTCCATTTTTAGGTCTGGTCGGGGACTTGAACCGGCGACCCTACGGCTCAGTCCAATCCCCTACTGACAGAGCCACTGCCGGACGGCCAGATGGCCAGAAGATGCTCCCCATGAGCTTGCTTCAGAATCTAAGTTTCCCAGTGGAAACTGTTGGTACTGCCCACTGGAAAGTGCAGAAAGGAAGTACTAAAAGCTGATTTAGCATGCCTATAATAGTTTATAACCATGGCACTCATAGTGTAGCACACAGTGTACTTTTTATATAATGCCTTTAATATGAGAGCAGCTTTCAAATGATACATTGGGCAAAGGTGAAATTGGGTGTTTACGTACAGTTATTAACATAACTATGCACAGCCACTGGTTGCAGGGGAGAAGGTCAGTGAATAGAGCACAGAACTAGAGTTTTACAACTCATTTGTCTTTGTTTCAGTGTTCTGGATCTAAATGCATTTGAGAGGCAGAACAAAGCAGAAGGACTGGGGATGGTGACAGAGGAGGGATCAGGTGAGCTTCTCTACAGGATGTTTGCACATCTTTCATTTAATGTTGCAATGGTTATAGCAATATAATGATTTATTTTGAGATTGTGGCTTATTGTTGATAATAAAATGTTTTCTTCACCAGGTATTTTAAGTTAAATGTAAGTTAAATTATTAAATACCACTTTAATTAGCCTAAGGATGTTTCATGTAAGCCTACCTACACAGAACTGCTTGCTGAAACAATAAGTCTCATAAAGGAATGCTAAAAGATAGCATAACCAATGCGTTTTTAAATCCATGTTATATCATAATTGTTTTGTGTTGTTGTCATCACTTAATTTGAGCAATTGGTTCATTTATTAAAAGTGGTAATGCAGTTATACCTATTTTTTAAATGCATTATCAGGTATGATTTCCCAGTCACATGTATATGTGCTTATGATTTGCATGTTGCATTTTTCTGTCATGTTTTCTGTATGTTCACAATCATACTTTAGATGGCAAACTGACTTTTCAAGATTTTACTCAAATTCTCCCTTTTTTCACTATTTATAAGTACTATATTGTAAATATAGGCATAACCTACAAACACAATCACAAACTACTGGATAAAAGTAGGAAGCCTTGAGGAATTGTTTTTGCAATGAGTGCTCTTAAAAAAAACATTAAATGACCATCTGTGTGTTTAAATGATCCTGACATAACCCTTTGGTAAATGTAGGAGTAGCATGATGTTATCATAGCAACATTAAACCTCTCAGGGAGGAAATCAGTTCATTGTTAGGAGCTCAATTCTGCACTACAAAGTGTGAAACAAGAGAACAAGTCAAACCTGGTATCTCAGAAACATAAAGCGAATAATTTCCAAACGTAAACCACAACGGCCTGTTTTTCTACCCTAAACCAAAACCAATGTTTACCATTGAGTTGTCCCACACTTTTCAAGTCCCCAACAAAACCCAATTTATTTTTTAAGGCATAAAATTAAGACCCATAAATCCTGAAACGTATTTATTTGTATCATTACTGCATCTATTTCAGCATACAGAAATAGCACAAATTATGTTTTTCTATTAATAATTTCCTCAATATAATTAGTAAATACTTAGTATTCATACTGAGGCCCTATTAACTTAAACATTTTTACCATGCACTTTCACAATCAAATAAAAAAAGGATGAGAGGGAAAAACGTTTTTATCTTGGTGTTATATATTTTTTATTTTGTAAGACGTCTCTTAAGACATTTACTGAGCTTTACGGATTCCATGTTGACCAAACAACTGAATCCGGAGTTATTGAAACTCTTTTCCCTATATGTAATCTTTTTCTTTGTTTCTTACTTTGTTTCTCTCTTTCTTTCTTCCCCCTGTTTTCCTTTTCTCATTTTGGTTTATTGCACTTTCTTCCCCTCCTCAGTCATCACTCATGAGCGTGGTAATTATGCCTTCTGCCATTTCCTTGTGTGTTGGTTGGTCTCTCGCTCCCTCTCCTCCTGTGGTGGGTCAGATGTTGTGTCAGTTCTGTCCAGGTCTGTTCTGTTTATACTTTTTAAAGTCTTTGTCAAATCATTCTCTTTGACATCAAGGAAACGGATGATGAATATAATAAATGTCAAGTAGATTAAAACAATCCAGACTCCCTCTCAGGATTTGTACAGTATCTGGCACATTCTTAATATTACTGATATTTCCCATCCTTCACCCACTCTTGGTCATGTAGTCAACCTAAAGTCTTGTTGTGTTGTCCTAGTAATGGAGATGGTTATTGTGCTGGTTGTTCTTTGTTGTGAAGTGTACTACCCATCTGTGTCCTCAGCCTCTCTCTCTGTCATTTCCTGTCTCCCTATATTAGGACTGCAATATATACAGAAAAGCCCCAATCAGGCAAATATAAGTTCCTTATAGTAAATTAAAGCTGCACTCATCATTGCACCTGTTGTAGTGGCTGTGAATCATTTTGTTAAATCTGTGAGCGCCTCACAACGTAGATGCAGTCTATCCTGTCTGAAGCACAATGATGCTGATAACATTTCAAATGGGTGAGACATTGGCTCATGAGTTGTCAAAGTGCTTTGAATAGTTGCAAATAACAGAAACACGTTATATGAAGGCAGTTTATTTACTATTTAGCTATTCAATTGTGTTGTCAATACACTTACTATTACAGATTCGTACGGTTGCCGACAAATGCAAACGCGCTTCAATGGCCCAAAACATTTCCATTAGGAGAAGCACACTGCAGCTTCAAAAAAAATTCAAATATAAAGTCATCAATGTGCCTCAACACATGCAACTGAAGAAACGCACATGCAGTATTTAGAAAACATCCACCAACTGGACGAAACATGCGCAGCGTTTACTAAAAGCGCTGCATAAACAAAACACTACAAATAAAAAATGCAGCACTTAAAAAACGCTGCAAGAACACGACGGAACCCTAGCCAACTTAATCAGAAGGAATCATCCGGTGAAATTGTTCAAATGAGTAGATAAAACTTATGTTTTAGGTATGTTTCCAACAACAATGGCTGTTGACCAACATTATAATCCCCAAATGTCAACATGAACTCTGGTCCCAGCTGTGTGCATCACTTTTTAGTGTCCCCTTGAAACAGTTTCCGTTGTGTTTTGAGCTTTTGCAGCTTTTTTTATGTTCAGCGCGTTTAGTAAAGGCTGCAAATGTTTTGGTAAAGATGTACCTTCATATGCATGTGTTTTGGCACATACACAACAGTGTAATGTTAAAAAACATATATTCTCTCTGAAAGAGGTTAAGTATTTCATATAAAGGCTAGTCTTCAAATAACAAACTGAAATTGCCAGGCGGTACGGCCCTGCTTGTTTCTCACCTCTACATCAGTTTAGTTCTGTCCACCTCTCCTGCTCTTCTCTCTGTGTGTTGCACTCTGGACTTTAACCTGGCCATGCTGCTGTAAGTGGAGGGGGGGGGGGACTCTGATCTGCTCTAATTCCTTCCTCCTTCTCTGTTTACTGGCTGAGCTGTGGTCTGTAGTCAATGTGTCCTTCATGACTGTTTTGCTTAAGTGGGGATATTTTATTTGAATAACCGCCCTTCTTTTTTCACGATTTGACTTATTTCTGACTTCAGTATTGTATTTTGAACTTATGATTTTGTTGTTGTTGTACTCAAGCATTAAACTGTGTACAGTTTTACAACCTTATGTTTTAAATGGACTAGAAGAAATTGAATGCACTATTTATTGTACACCACATCTATAGCTTGTCATTTAATCTAATCCTATTTATAATCCCTATACCAAGAGCAGAGTGTGGCCTGGTACCTGGACAGGTGCCAGTCTGCCTCCTGGGCACAGCCAGGTGCCCTAGAGCAAAGCACTGAACCACCACACTGTTTCAGAGCGCTGTATAGTAGCTGCCCACTGCTCCTTATACTAGGATGGGTTACATGCACAGTTTGAATTTCACTGTGTTATGTGTACATGTGTGACGATAGTTTAAATCCCTATTTACATTTCATCCATTCCATTAAAGGTGCAATGTGTAAATTATGCCAGAATAAAAAAATGTAACCAACATTATTAAAGACATGCTGACTTTATGTTGAAGATGTCTACGTATTGTGTTGCAGAAGTGAAGTCAGCATGCTGGCTGATTAGCTTGTAATACAACTTGTTCAGCACTTCCTAACTCCTGTCTGTCCTCAGATCAGAGGAACAAGTAGAGCTGCCCGACTTGTAGATCCATGATCACTGCAAGTGTGATTGCTTGTTTGGATTGAATCCAAAGTGTCAGAAAACGACTCACACCCCCGCCTTGTTCCCACAAATGTTAGGAATTTCCATTAGACACTGGTGGCTCAGAACTACACATTGCACCTTTACAATCATATTAATACGTTTTGTCTGGTCGCGTCATTTTTTTCAACTGTGGAATATGTAATTCCCTTCATCTGGTCTACCACTGTGTTGGGAATGAGCCTGAAAGAGCCCTTCTTGAATTCTAACATATGTAAGTAGATGCAGTCAGATCTATTTTTTTATTTTAAGAGGCCATAAGAAAAGACAGCAATAAGGTCATAACTGTTGACAATTATTAAGACGTATCTCTCTCATCCTGGTGGGAGTCATTGTAGAAAATGTAAAAGAAAACCCTTTCAGTCTTGTTCCACACCTCCAGATTTTCCTCTTTCAGCCCAGTCCAGTCTGTTGTCATATTGTATCAACGTAATCTGTTAATGTTTCTGTTATGTTTAGTGTCTCATCTAACTTTCTCTGACCTTCTTTCCTTTTGCATTTCTTGGTTCAAAGCAGCATTTTGGTGTGGTCAGGGCAGCTGTCCTCAATGTGTCTGTAATGTTTTCAGATATTACAATAGAAGCAGCAACCTACAGACTTTCTTTATTAAACCAAACCAGCAACATCCGGTCCTGACTGTAAAATGCTGCATCTTAAAAACCAAACCACTTCAGTCCAAGTGTGTGTGTGTGTGTGTGTGTGTGTGTGTGTGTGTGTGTGTGTGTGTGTGTGTGTGTGTGTGTGTGTGTGTGTGTGTGTGTGTGTGTGTGTGTGGTCTGGATTTGTGTATTATGCCTACACATCACTGACTGAAAGAAGACACTGAATATTTCCTGACATTAGCTCCATCTCTTTTTAACACTTCTTCACTCTCCATCTTCTTGTGGTGTGTCTCTCATACATGTCGTCTGCTTTTGTCGGCCCTGTTCTCTGACCTTCTTTATGTGTGTGTGTGTGTGTCTTTGTGTGTGTGTGTGTGTGTGTGTGTGTGTGTGTGTGTGCACGTGCTTGTGTTTTTGTGTGTGCATACCTGCGTATGTGCTCGTGCGTGTGTGTGTGTGTGGGTGTGTTTCTTCTCTCCGGCCAGGTGAGAAGGTCATGCAGGATGATGAGTTCACCTGTGACCTTTTCCGCTTCCTGCAGCTGCTCTGTGAAGGGCACAACTCAGGTGTGTGTGCACGTCTCTGTTTCTGATGCCATCTACATGTATTGCTAAATATGCAGTAAATCTCTTCATGCTGAGGGGGGTTTGAGGCTTTAACTTGTCAGATAGTGTTTATTAAAATGGTGTTAAGTTGAGTTAAGTTAATGAAATATAATAAGTAAAAAATTAGCAATGAAAGGATGAAAAAGTGCTGCATTTACGAAAAACTCCCTCAATGTGCATGGGCATTGTGTGGTGTTGATCCAAGCCATGTGGTTCTTTGAGAAAGACAATCTATTTTCTATCTTTTTTTCTTGTAAAATGTAAAAAGAAAAATCATCTGGTTTCCAGCTCAGATAGTAAGCTGCTGAGCTGAAACAATAAACTGATATTTCCCCACTTAGATTCTGCGACATGTCAAAGAACTTACTAAGAACATAACCTCTTATATTTGTTATTCTACAAGCTTACCTTTATTTGAATTTCATTCTGATGACCGAGGTATTACTTAAGAAGTCATACAATCGTTGACAGAAAGGCTACCAACTCTTTGCTGATTTCAACACGATATGTGCAAAATTGCTATCTTTTATTTCAGACTTCCAGAACTACTTAAGGACGCAAATAGGGAACAACACGACTGTCAACATCATCATCTCTACTGTCGACTACCTCCTCAGAGTACAGGTCAGCTGTTCACTTATACTGATTCATACAGATCACATATTTATCATATAGACAAAATAAATCCTGTTAAGTTGGATTTTAGATTTTACTGATTGCTTTTAGTTCAGTAGGAAGTTGAGCAATACAACTAACGATAGTTACGGCTGTAACTACGGTTCTATGAGTCCCGGATGACCGCCAGAGGCGGTGCTTTAAGCACTGGATATGTCCATCGCGCGCATGCGCAGCTCGAGTACCAATAACAACAAAGTCACTTGTGACCCACGTGACACCGGCTATATCAGCTGGTGTCGTCAGAGGATCTCTTCCCAGAATCTTCTCGCGAGCACACAAGAATTCTGAGTGACAGGAAACTCTGGCTGTCATCCGGGACTCATACTGTAGAACCGTAGTTACAGCCGTAACTATCGTTCTATTTCGTCCCTACTGACCGCCAGAGGTGGTGCTTTAAGCACTGGATGACTTAGACCAACAATGTCATGAAGAATCCAAGCCCTTGCTCACCACTGGAAGCAGCGGAGCTCGGCAAAAAGACCACGCCCCAAGAATGGGGAGTGGCGACATTGACCTGATGACAACTGGAGAATGTGCCAGAATACACCCACGACGCCGCGGTGCAGATGGTCTCCAGGGGCACCACCCTCAGGGCAGCCCAAGATGTTGAGATGCTCCTTGTAGAGTGGCATCTCAGCCCGATGGCAGGGGGTGGCCACTGGCCCCGTAAGCCTGTGAGATGGTATCGACAACCCAGTGGGGCAGCCACTGTTTAGAGGGCATAACCTCCTTTAGTGCCGCCAGGGAAAAATCAAGAGTTGCTCCTACTGCCGTATACAGGCAGTAGCCTTGATATACGCCCTTTGGGCACCCCCAGGGTACAGCAATTTCGACGTGCCGTACTCCTGAATGTCAAAGCGTGCAAGCTGGGCAGGCTGATTGAAGTGGGTTTGTGGAAGGACCCCGGGCAGGAATGCCACATTTGCCCAAAGGGCAACGCCTGAGAGTCCCACCTCGGGCATGTATTGTTTATGGAGAGGACATGCAACTCCCCGACTCGCTTCCCTGAGGTTATGGCAAGCAGAAATGCTGCCTTCGTGGGCAGCCACGTAAGCCCCACCTGGGCCAGGGGCTCAAAGGGAGGAGATGATAGGGCATCCGGCAGCAGGGGCAGGTCCCAAGCCGGAGCCCTCGGGGTGCTAGGGGGACGCTGCCGTAAAGCCCCTCTCATAAAGAGGGACACCGACCTGTGGCACCCCGCCGTCGACCCGAACATGTCGNCGTGGGAGATACTTGGCCAGTTCGATGGGGTGTCGTGGGGGTTTTCTTTAGAGACCGTTACGTTGACTTACACGTCACGTTTGGTCCGAGTACGTCGGTGGAAACTATTCTTGTTGTGAAAAACGTTTTATAGTCGTAAAAGAAAGAAAAGTAAAAAAACGTGTCGAAAGTTTCACGCTTTTCATAATATTTGAATAACCAAGATCTTTTCCCTAACGTGTTAACATACATACATAAATAAAAAAACTGGTGTCTCTGAATACCTCGTAACAAGATATAGTGACAAGATCCTTTCAGCAAAAAAAATAAAAAAAAAAAAAAAACTTCCATTTTGCAAGTAACTACATAAATTATTTACGATGACCGGGTTATGCACTGATAAACAACACCCCCCGCCGGCTGAATAAAAAAAGAGGTTTCCCCCCCGAACTGTCTATTTCAAACTCTTGGTGACTAGATGCTCTTTCACTATATCTATCTCTGCATATACAGGGCAAAGGACTTCTCACATTTTTGGTTTAGGCGAGAGTGTCCTTCACAAGTGTAGGAGGGTTTGATACGTACCATTCGAGTCGTCCGTACGAAATATGTCTCCGTTCCGTACAGACATCCTTGTATGTATGTCTATGTAGTTTCTATTTGAATTTTGTACGTTTGTGTGTCAAAAGAGAAATAAAAAATATATTGTTGTGACCGACTGATTTTCGTGCAAGAATAACCTCTCGTTAATCGGGCGTCTTCGTTGTTACAACTTTTATTTATGTATATTGTTGTAGTGTATTTGTGGTTGCAAGTACGTATTTGACTGAGTGTGAATCAAAAGTTTCAACAGTGTCCCGTGGCACCCCGGTAGACAAAGGACGGAACCGGTTAAACTTCTCTGTATTTGAGTCCTTAGGAAATTCCTCGTTATACCGGAGGAATGTCATACAATAGTTGTTAAGGAAGGTAACTTTACTCGGTGACCCGATGCCCCTACATTCCTCTGCCAAACAATAAGTGTAGACAAAGTTCCTTTCGGTTAAATATATCCAGTAAAGTCTTCTCAGCCTATTTGACCTCTGACACTCGTCGGAAATGTTAAAAAGGTTTACTGTTGCGACATTATATAATACCTCGAGAGATGAAGATGGCATTCCTCTACAAGTATTTGGCTAGACTGTAAAGTAAAATTTTGTCAAGTTGACGTTAAGATAATCTCGACACGTCGTTGTACTTTGTTGGACTACTCTCAGGAGATGAGTTACCTGTTATCCCTGATGAATAAAGAAATGGGGCTTGTGAGAAAATCTTGTAACATATTTGTAATAGTAAAGCACACAGACCGGACTCTATGAACACGGGAGAATAACAATTCGTGATCAATAAGAGTTTATTGTATATCGTAACATAGACAATCTTATATGACAGATCTTTTTTCGATACCAATTTTCGAACTTTAATGGTTTTCGTACTACCACCATGTTAACAACGAAGCGCATTCCATCTTGAAATTGGTCTTTCTTACTGTCCATATAGTTTAACTTTCAATCTCTTTTGCAAATTTGATACAAACAGGTTATTTATATTATATACGTTTACAGAAGAACCCGGGTATGTGTGTTCGTCCGTTCGTGCAATTGCAAAAAATATACACTTCACCGAGGAAGCTGTGAGGGACGACTGGCAGAAGGGAAGTTTTGGTGTAGGGATTTGAGTTTAGGGAATGTGTAGGTTTCCCCCAATAGGAGAGTACAAAGATTTCACTGCGCTGGGGGGTAGAGAGACAGACACTGGTGTCGACGATACCGACTTGTACACGGGAGTTAGGGAACAAATAGTAAATAAATTAAAGGTGCGGTTAAAGTACGGTGGTCCTTAGAAAACCTATCTGATGGAAACTGTTATTTTAGGTCGAAAAGTCTTAGACTGGTACTAAAAGGAGAAATGAGTATCAGCCGGTCATAAATCGACGGTACCACTACTACCGAGAGACGACATTCTGAATACAAAAAAACTACACTGATTTGAACTATCGTATCACGACGAGGGTTTACTGTATTATGTCATATAATTATTATATTATTATGTTATTTATATTTTAGACTCAATTTGGTCGACTCAATAATGTCTTTTTTGGACTTAGACCTGCACAAAATACGTAACGTCCACATGTACGTTATTATTGTAAAAAGGGAGTCGAGTCGGTTCCCTGGGTCGTTAATATGTATAGTATTTTGTTTTTGACAAGGGCAATTCGAGTCGGTCTTTCCACTGAAAGTTGTGTCTCGACGTTGGAGTAGGGTTTCCAATTAATGTACCGGTCGCTACAGTGGAATTTTCTACTGCAACAATCCCCACGCAAATACACAGTGTACCGCGACAGGTTAAAGTGCTATATAAGTGGGGAGTGGACCTAACATATATATTTTTAATTTTGTAATTAAAAGCATCAATCTCAATCTAGTGCACTTTGAGATCAAAATGAAGAGATCTATGGATACATCTCTCAACACCCATATGAAACAGAACTGTAAACAGATTTTCGTTTTCTTTATGGATATTTTACAAATCACTTAAACGTTATTCTTTTTTTGCTGTCATATAGTGTTTCATACCTGTTTTTTATTTATTCTCTTATTTTTTTATAACTATAAACGTGTGCCTCGGAAATAATTGTTTACATTAATCGTGACCAAAACGTTTGAGACCCACTGAGATAACTTAGACTAAAGTTAACTATCTAAACACTCAGAGAGTCCTTTAGTTCACTGAGCCTCTCAGTCTGACAGGAGAGGACCCTCCTCCACCTTGTTGTTGAAAAAGCTCCACTTCGAGCGATAGAATTACTATCAAAGCACTTATATACTAATAAAGGACTGGCTTATCTAAAGTTAGTTGAGTAGCACTTGAAATGTTTTGGCTCTATGAAACCTGATGTACTTATATGATTCTATTTTCTTCAAGGTTGTATCTTCTTCGAAGGTCGAATGCACTTATTGTAAGTCGCTTTGGATAAAATCGTCAGCTAAATGCAATGTAATGTAATGTATATCCGTTAGCGTATCTCGCTAGCACCAGAAGCTAACAACAACAATCTCCAGTACCGGTGCGCTCTCTCTCTCTCTCTCTCTCTCTCTCTCTCTCTCTCTCGCACTCTCTCGCACACGCACACCAAACACAGAGACCCAGACGTACTTGTTCTGTACTGTATCATATTATGTCCGAATCAATAATTTTCCAATTATGATTTTTTTTTGTTGGTCTCTCCCCTGTCACCCCCAACTTTGAGAAACACTGCTCTAGATGTATGTTCACAACTGCTAGTTGCCCTCCTATGTTTGACAGGACTGTGAGCGGTACAAACAGCTACAGGTGTTTTACAAGTTGTCTTTCAAGCTTTAGCTCAAACCCCCAACCTCTGAGATGAGAGACTTGTTGACATGAGGGATGTCAGACAAGATTAGGACAGAAGCTGAAATTATGACATCTGAAGATAGCCTCCTACATGTATTTTTAACTCTGTCAAGCACACACATTTGTTGGCCTGTATTAGTACACATCAACATTTCTATAACTGGTCATCATGGAGTCAACTAATCGATTACAATTCAATATGAAAATGAATGCCATCTACTAGGTAGGATAATCGATAAATAGTAACTGTTGGTGCTTAAATTGCAGAAAACAAGACATTTGGATACATCACTTTGGACTTTCCTGGACACACATTTCTGACATTTAATAGACCATACAAATAATCAAAAAAATAAACAACAGCTCTTGCTAAATTATAAAATGATCTAAATCATATCTTACCTACTTGCTTTTATGTCTGTTGAGGTTTACAGTTTTCATCAGCAGTTTCTTTACCTAATGTAATAATATGAATATAAATATATGTTGAATAGTTAAAAACATACTGAAGTGAGGTAAAAAGTATACAATACAGTTAATATCAGTTAACATTCACAGAGTAGATTCTGACTCCCTACCCACAATGCCAAACTCGAAGAAAGCTGGTGAAGCTTGAAATATCTAATTTGATATGACCTTGGTTTTTAAACAAGACATTCACATGTAGTTCTGTTTTAAAAAATAATCTATCAAGGTCCTCTCCTTACGTTTTCCTCTCCTTCATGCTGTACCACTTTTCCCTGATCCAATCCTCTCAGGTCTTTCAACATTTTCCTGGATATCATCTCTATTTTTTAAATGTTTGACTTCACCTGCAATAAGATAGTTTGGGAAAATGGCCCACTTTAAACTGCTCTTATTTTGTCGTGATGTCAAAAAAAGTGTGATCCAAATGAGGAAAACAAGATAAAGAGAAGTGCCTGAGGTGTAGAGTTGCCTGGCAACAATTTCCCACCTTTGTACGAGTTGGCCTTCATCAGATTGCAGGATAGACATTTAAAATCACTCGCACTATAGTGAGAGTTAGAATAAGAGAAAGATAGATTAGAAAAATGAACTGCTTGAGAAATACATATTAACATATGGGATGACAAACTTAAGCAGTCAGTTTGGGTCTACTTTACAGCACAAAGACGGCAATGGCCTTTCCCTTTATTTCTTCCAGTGTAGCCTTCTCTGCTCTCTGTTTCTTCCTTAAATATCTACTTTCTAGTTTATGAAGAGTTGGCCTG